ACGCCGGTGACAACAAACAAGCGCCTCAACAACAGAAGCAAAACAAGAAGAAGCAAAGTCAAGCAAACAGGATTCATTCGGTAAATCAAGCCATTCTGTGAAGCTTCAACTTGACTGTGGCTCGGACATTACCATGATCTCCGAGCAGAACTGGAGGAAATGCGGTTCACCCACTCTTTCGCGAACAGATCACAGAGCGAATACAGCATCGGGCGAGCAGCTGCCACTACTAGGAGAGTTTGCTTGTGAAATGCAGATCGGCGAAGAGCAGCAACACGGAACCTGTCACGTCACGTCAGTTAAGGGACTGAACTTGCTCGGTCTGGACTTCATGAACGCTTTCGATGTTTAGGCGAAGCCGTTGTCCACCATCTGCAACCAGGTAAATTGTTCCAATTCATTCGATTCAGCCAACTGGTACCTTACCCGTTTTCCCGAAGTTTTTAGTGATTCCCTCGGTCATTGCACGAAAACGAAGGTGAAACTCTACCTGAAACCCGAAGCGCAACCGGTCTTCAGACCGAAACGACCGGTACCATTCCATGCAGTGCCCAAAGTTGATGAGGAGTTAGACAGATTGCAGCAGCTAAACATCATCCAGCCGGTGGACTACTCTGCCAAGTCAGATTTGTCTCGGTTATGAAAAATTCAAGTCTGCGCCGACTACTCTACAGGATTGAACGCGGTACTCGAACCACATCACTTTCCGCTACCAACACCCGAAGACATTTTCTCCAAGCTGTCGGGTAGCAAAGTGTTCAGCATTGATTTATTGGATGCCTATCTTCAAGTCGAGGTAGACGAAAACTCGAAACGGATGCTGACCATCAACACCCACCGTGGGCTATTTCAATTCAACCGCCGGCCCCACGGTGTGAAATCCGCACCTGGAGCCTTCCAGCAATTGATGAGCAAGATGATTGCAGGCTTGGAAGGTGTGGATTGTTTTCTGGATGACTTCCTTATCCACAGCAAGGACAGAGAAGAGCATGACCTATTTTGGAGAAGCTATTCACTCGCATCCAAGAGTATGGGTTCCGTCTACAACCAGAAAAGTGCAACTTCTACAAAGAAATCCGGTACCTAGGTTTCATCATCAATGCCAACGGTATCAAACCTGATCCTGAAAAGGTAACTTCAATAGCCAAAATGCCGCAACCGAAAGACGTCACCGAACTCCGATCTTTTCTCGGAAAGTTCGTCCACGAAATCCATCGAATCCGGCACCCGCTGGATGATCTACTCAAAAAGGACAGGAAGTTTGTATGGAGTGACCAGTGCCAGAACGCTTTTGACAGCATCAAAAATGTGTTGCAATCAGACTTGTTGCTTACGCATTACAACCCAGACATCGAGTTAATCGTAGCAGGTGATGCTTCGAAGACTGGCATAGGTGCCATCATAATGCATCGTTTTCCGGATGGGCAGATCAAAGCGATAGCACACGCCTCGAAAACATTGACCAGCACCGAACAGAAATACAGCCAGGTGGAGAAGGAAGCGTTGGCGTTGGTTTTCGCAGTAACGAAGTTTCGTCGAATGCTGCTGGGACGAAAATTCACGCTTCAGACAGATCATCAGCCGTTACTCAAAGTCTTCGGATCAAAAAAAGGTATTCCACTGCACACTGCAAATCGTCTTCAACGGTGGGCATTATTGCTGCTTGGATTCGACTTCAACGTGGAATATATCGCAACGGACAACTTTAGATATGCGGATGTACTTTCTCGGCTAATAAGCAACCATCAAAAACCCGAGGAAGAGTACGTTATTGCCACAGTCAGTCTGGAAGAAGAAGTCAACGCAAGCCTGGAGGAATGTCTCACATCGCTGCCAGTGAACTTCAAGATGGTTAAGACAGCTACAAAGAAGGACGTCCTACTGCAACAAGTCATATAGTACATTGACGGATGTTGGCCGAACAGCAGCAGTATCGCAGATCGAACCCTGAAGACCTTCCATATTCGCCGTGAGTCTCTGTTAGTTGTCAATGGATGCATCATGATGAACGACCGTTTAGTGATACCAGAATGTTACAGGCAACACTTTCTAAAGCAGCTGCATCGGGGTCACCAAGGCATCGAAAGGATGAAAGCCATCGCTCGCAGTGTGGTCTACTGGGCCAATATCGCTGATGATATTGAGGATCTTGTTCGTCGGTGTTGCATTTGTGCCAGTACAGCAAAATCTCCGGCGCATTATCAACCTCAACCGTGGCCAAGGGCAGACGGTCCATGGAAGAGAATCCATCTAGACTACGCAGGACCACTTGACGGAATGTACTACTTAGTCATAGTGGACTCATATTCGAAATGGCCAGAAATTGTTCAAACTCGCTTGACGACAGCAGCTGTCACGATCAGATTTCTTCAGGAAACCTTTGCCAGATTCGGTATTCCGGAGACTATTGTCACCGACAACGGAACGCAGTTCTGTAGTGCTAAATTCAAGACGATGTGTCTGCAGCTCGGAATTATCCACATTCGTACAGCGCCATATCACCCTCAGTCAAATGGCCAGGCAGAACGCTTTGTAGATACGCTAAAACGCTCATTGCACAAAATTGTTGAGGGGGAAGAAGTTCCATCAGTCGAAGCGCTCCAAACTTTTCTACAAATGTATCGTTGTACGCCCAGTGCAACACTTGCTGGGAAGTCACCTTCAGAGGAAATGCTGGGCAGGCCGATGCGTACAACATTGGATCTCTTACGACCATCAGCGTTCAACAGTAAGTCCGATCAACAAAGTCCGAAGTTTACATCGGGTTCAACAGTCTACGCGAAGCTGTATCAGAATACGAACAAGTGGAAATGGGCTTCTGGTGCTGTTCTTGAAGCCATCGGCGGAGTCAACTTCAACGTTCTGCTCGACTACCAGTCAGGTCGGAGGAAGCTTATTCGGTCACACGTGAACCAGCTTCGACCTAGATGCGATGATACTTTCAAGCCGTTATCAGCACCAACTCAGTTCGACATCCTAGGGGATTACTTCGAACTTAAGCAGCATTCTTCAGCACAGCAGACCGCTATACAACAGAATATGAGATCGACTGAACCGGAACAAGTTAACATTAGCCAGCATCAGGATGACAGTTCAGACGACGACGAATTCTTCGAGACTGGTTCATCAATATCCAATCAACCACCAGTTTCGCCATCAACATCGAAGTCTCCCAGACCAGCCAGAGATCGCCGGCTTCCAAAACGACTGGAAGACTATGTCGTCGGCTAGAATTAAAGGGGGAGATGCTACCACCCTATAGCTACAACCCTGTGGTGCATCGTTATACGCCGTTAACTGTCAGTGCGCTTGGCGCGAAGAGAAAATAAACTTTTTTATCTTTGCTATGACGAGAACTGTACGATTACTAAAAATAAAGAGTTCTGATTATTTTGATGATTAACATGCAAAGTAGTAGTTAAAGTTAATGAAAACATAGCAATAGTGGTTAAGTTGATCAGCTTCGGGTTTTAATTAATTTGAAAGCTTGAGTACGCCAAGCCCCTCCAGTTTTCCCGGTAGTGTGCCGACACAGTTCGCAGAGTTTCGTGCTGCTGAGTCGTTGTCGGGCAGAACATTTGTTTCATGCAGTATGAGGCACTGGCGGCTTATCTAGGTCTTTCAGGCCATCTAAGCCATTCCTCTTCTCCTCCTTCCACTTCATGAATTGGGAGTTTGTTGCCACTTTTTTAAATTCTTCCACCCAGGATATAGCCTTTTTCCATATCAACTGTTAAGCGAACCCCACACGGTAAGAAATATTGTCAATACTTACAAGTATTGACAATAATATTGATGATGTGAATACAGAAATATTGTCAATACCGATGTATTGACGTCAATATAAAATGTATTGACAATACGATTATTGTCAATACAAACTGTCGTGTAGGGTCCACTTTACACACATTCTGCTTCTACCAACTGGCTTACATTCAACATCCATACAGTTGAAAGTTATATCTCTGAAAGATTATAGATTATAGGTTATAGATTACGTCAACTTACTTTGCTTGACAGCCAACTTTGCAATATAACAATAAGATATTGAGCAACGCGAGTTACTCAGAGTTACTCAAAATTAACTCCGATTTTACTCATGATCGAAAGCTGTCTTACCCCCAGAAAAAAAAACTGAATATTACTGGTGACCAGTGGTGGCACGAGTCCTGGAGTTTAACATTTTTTCCTTAACATTTGATACTTTTTGCGATAACCATTGTGACGAAACACAAAAACAAACTGGCAAGCGGCAAAAATGTCATGACATTTCTAAACTGTTTTCTGCCAGCGACAGAACATTTTCGCACAAATTTATGTCGTGTAGAATTTTGCTGATTTCTGGCTAATTACTGCATTAATTTGATTTTTATTGCATGGAATTAAAAGATAAGAATGAAGACTGACCACTAGCATTGATGTTAAAATTATGCGTAAATAAGGGAGTTGGTAATTTACTGTCACACGCAAGCCTGCATCTAAAATTTCATTACAATAAACTGTTTGGAAAAATCAGGCTGCGAGATTTTATTTATTCTCTATCTCCGCTGTTCGCTTGGAATGTAGTTATAAACAACAGCCCGTGTGCTGGCTGTTTTGTTTCGCTCTGGACGATGGTTTTTCAAAAAATGTACTGTTGCCACCTCTGCTGGTGACATAAACATCCATGCGTGAAAACTTGTATTTCTTTTCACGCAAACTTGAGTGGTATGATTTATTATATTATTATATCGAACACGCCATTTTAAAAAATTAGGCGAGAGTCAAAATGGCCGAATTCCAGCACAAACTTGGTTCCTTGCCGCCCCTAGCGAACTCGCTATTTGGCTCGGAACTGCTCAATAGATCTTTTCGATGCCGTCCGTTGTCCCGTATTATCGTCCAGTCCCACAGCCCTGGATTATCGGAATATCCGGTATCATTGCTGGAATTTCGAAGCAATACAATCAAACCATGAGTAAAAGCCACTAAAAGTAAGCAACCGATTTGGATTCATTTCCTATCCCAGCAGAAAAAGCAGCTACAGTTTCGTTTAATCGGCCCACGGGCCCGTCGTTAAAAGTAAGCCTAAAACTGTCACCAGTTTTACAACTCGTCATTTTTAGGCACATTTAGTGAGCACATCGTCTCGAAAGCACAATTCCCTACCCGTTCGTCGAACAATCGCTTAAAGCTGTCATAATCGCAAAGCGTTTGACCGCTGGAGCAACCGGGAATCTGCACCACCCGTTCCTGATGTGTCAGCATCACGTGGGTTCCGTTGGTGCACCTGAAAATGCGGAAACGTAAGCAACACATTTACCACAGACTTCATCAACACCAAAAAAAGCTTACTCCAGCTGTGTAAAAACCAGATTCGAAGCAAATGCATCGATTTCGCTAACCCTCCACTGTCGTTTTCTCTCGAAATCCCTGTGCGTCAGAGGGTGCTCATCACGATACAATCCGAGGAAGGCCATTGCCTTGAGCAAAGTTCCGGAATGGGTAAAATAGAACGTATACGGTTCCAGGTCCCCGTCGAAACGCTTCAACAAATCACCAAAAGCATTGCAAGCCTGTTCGTACGTCAGCTCGTACCCGTATCCATCGATCCAGTAGTACTCCAAATCCTCTCCAAACTCCAACACCTTTACAGATGATTTATCGAACAGCGAACACCACGGTGAGGTATGCTTTTTGCTCCATGCCGTCTCAAAAGCACACGTCTGATACATCAAATGAATGCTCTCTGCATCCAAATAGGTGCCCACTTTCTTCGAGATTCTCCCAATGACTTCCTTCATCGGTTTACTGTTGTAGAACAGATCCACCTCTCGTACCGCATCCGGATTGCGTTTAATCTCGCTTCTCCACCTATCGCAAAGCTTATAAAACCTCAACACCGGATCCCGGGACAGCGGAGTCGGATACTCCACATCCACCGTCCTTCCAAACAACCCCAAACTGAAATTCCTCGCGCTGTTCTCAGCCCGCTCCGTCTTTGTAAATTTAAAATAGAAGTCCTCTCTTCGATAATCCTTCGGTAGTGCTTCTCCATACCGCGATCGGAATCTCCTGCCCAACTGCTGCATCTCATCTGCTCCCTCTTCGACCAGAATCTTCTCCTGATCCACGCTCAACCGCGGTTTCCATCGCTCAAACATCTGCAATTCCTTCTTGCATAACTTCCCGTGCTGCAGGATGTCGTCACGAATGCCCACCAAATCCGTATTCATCCTTTCGATCACCTTCTGGGATGGATTTCGCGTTCCATGCCGGAACAAACCCCACGTCCTTCGGACACGGCAGCCATCGATACCGGTTGGATTGTATCCCACATCACGGAACACATGACGGTAGGGAGTTTTGGTAGCCAGCCTCCGGTGAATCGCTTCCCATGGTTTCTCCGCACAGGCTTGGCCAAAAACCACCGCTGCCGGAACAGAGCACACAATCAGCAGCAACCGTAGCAGCATTTTAACATTGCACTAACCAGGGATTACTGACAAAGGATTTCTGTATAGAATTTAGTATTATACGATTTACGTGGTCACCTTGACGGAGCGATAGCAAGCGGTTCCGTCAAAACAAAAACAACACCACCCACAATTTCATTCATAAACAAGTCAACGGTAGGCGTGTGATGTTCATTGCTTTCCAAGAGTGGAAATGTATGCGTGATGCGAATGCAATTAGACTACTAGCCACCAGGTGGAGATACAAATAAACGTGTTGGTTAAAGTGGGAAGTGGTCTTAACATTCAGTTCAGGAAGAACTTCTACACTGAACGTAAACATCCGCAAGACTCGAATGATTATTACATTGCTCGAGCCCTTTAACAACATGCTTTCAAAAATTGGATGATTGCCTTATGGTGGAATTCGTCATCAGCTGATAAGCAAGGATGATATTTACTTGAAAATTGGCTGTAAAATATACATCGCTCAGAGTGTATTAGATCAATAATTCAACTGTTTGCATTTGCATATTCATCACTAGGCGCAGCAGCTGGAAGTTGCACTACCCAGGGAAGAGCAGCTTCTCTTGAAGATGGCTGGAGGGACATTCGTTCCGCCATAGGTAGTACTGCTGCAGCGGCACTAGGTACTGCAATCCCGGACCAGCACGGGCGAGAATGCTGCAACACCGCACGAGATTGAATGTAGAGCGATACAGACAAGCGCGGGATAGACAAAACTCGGTATTCCGAAGGAAGAAGCGTCAGCAGGAAGACCGAGATCGCGAGGCGATGGAAAATCTGTACCGCGTAAACGACACACGGAAGTTCTACGAGAAGCTAAATAGTTCGCGCAAAGGCTACGTGCCGCAAGCCGATATGTGCAAGGACTTGGACGGTAAACTTCTTACGAACGAGTATGAGGTGATTGAGAGGTGGAAGCAGTACTATGACGAGCATCTCAACGGTGGAGCACGCGCAGAAGACGACAGGCTACCGGCCCCTGATCTTCAAGAAGTTGAGAAGGAGATCGGTCGGCTGAAGAACAACAAAGCAACTGGTGTAGATCAACTACCAAGTGAGCTATTAAAATACGTTGGTGAAGCACTGGCTAGAGCGCTGCACTGGGTAATTGTCAAGATTTGGGAGGAGGAGATATTACCGGAGGAGTGGATGGAAGGCGTCGTATGCCCAATCTACAAAAAGGGCAACAAGTTGTATTGCTGCAACTACCGCGCGATCACACTGCTGAGCGCCGCCTACAAGGTACTCTCCCAAATTCTATGCCACCGCCTGTCACCATTTGCAAGAGAGTTCATGGGGCAATACCAGGCGGGATTCATGGGTCCCCGGGCTACCACGGACCAAATTTTCGCTATTCGGCAGGTTCAGCAGAAATGCCGCGAATACAACGTGCCCACAGATCATTTGTTCATCAATTTCAAATCCGCATACGACACAATCGATCGAGATCAGCTATGGCAGATTATGCACGAGTACGGATTTCCGGATAAACTGACGCAATTGGTCAAGGCGACGATGGATCGAGTGATGTGCGTTGTTCGAGTATCGGGGACATTCTCGAGTCCCTTTGAATCTCGAAGGGGCTTACGGCAAGGTGATGGACTTTCGTGTCTGCTATTCAACATCGCGTCAGTAGGTGTGATCAGAAGAGTTGGGATAGACACGAGTGGCACGATCTTCAGGAAGTCCATCCAGCTTCTTGGCTTCGCCGATGACATTGGCATTATGGCACGGAACTTTGAGACGATGGCGGAAACGTACATCAGACTGAAAGCTGAAGCTAGGCGGATTGGACTTGCCATCAACGCATCAAAGACAAAATACATGAAAGGAAGAGGTTCTAGGGAAGACAATGTTAGCCTCCCACCCCGAGTTCAGATTGACGGTGACGAAATCGTGTATTTGGGCTCACTGGTGACCGCCGAAAATGATACCAGCAGAGAAATTTAAAGACGCATTATGGCAGGGAATCGTGCCTACTTTGGACTCCGGAGGACGCTCCGGTCGAATAAAATTCGCCGCCGCACGAAGTTGACTGTCTACAAGACGCTGATTAGACCGATGTTCCTCTACGGCCACGAGACCTGGACTATGCTCGTGAAGGACCAACGCGTCCTTGGTGTTTTCGAACGGAAGGTTTTGCCTACCATCTACGGTGGAGTGCAGATGGATGACGGAACGTGGAGGGGGCGAATGAACCACGAATTGCACCAGCTGCTGGGAGAACCATCCATCGTCCACATTGCAAAAAATGGGCGACTACCGTGGGGTGGGCACGTCGTAAGAATGCCGCACGACGACTCAGTGAAAATGGTTCTAGAAAGCGACCCAACAGGAACAAGAAGAAGAGGCGCGCAGCGGGCAAGGTGGATCGACCAAGTAGAAGGTGATCTACGGACCCTTCGCAGACTACGAGGCTGGCGAACTGTGGCCATGGATCGAGTAGAGTGGAGACGACTTCTTCGGACAGCAGAGGACAACAAGGCTGATTGGTAAGGTAAGTAAGCATTTTCATATTGAATAGCCAGGAACAGCCATTCCATTTATGGATACAAAAATCGTTTGTTAGTAGAGGAAACTTCCTTCACCACGAAATAGATAATCTTCGGATCCTCACTTTACCAAGTTCGTACCACATATGATAGCGAAGACTATGTTTGAGCAATTTTTAGTTTGTATGGCGTGCAGATTAGCGGGGTTCAAACTAAAAAGTGATCAGATTAAGAACGGTCAGATTACCAGGATTCCACGGTAGTCAAGAATTGTTCAAAGAAGTTAGAGAACTTTTTAAAAAATTAGGAAATCTTGAAATGCTTAGGAAATGTATATTAATGCTAATAATTTAAAGATCATGTTATTTTATCTTTCAGCCATCGGCTGGTTCATCTCTTGGAACCCTGGGACGGGGTGCCTCAAATAACTGAGTTGAGTATTTGGGGCCCCAGAAGGGGCGAAGCAGCGGTCCCAGCGGTTTGGGACCGCTGCTTCGGCTGATGAGCCATTCGATAGGGTGTTCCTTATGCTATTCGGTACACCGTAGAGAATCCATAGATTGCTAAACACTGGGCAATCCACCAATATGTGTTACACTGTCATGGTAAGGTTGCAAGAGACACAAGTTTTCCGGAATTTGAAGGAGTAGCCCATGTTGTGTGTTGCACGTGTGTGTGCCCGGACCGGAGGCGAAACAAGATGACCTGTTCTTGTCGACTTGGGGTCGACTTGTCGACTTGAATAAAAGATTACCCACTCAAAGTTCCAGGCGTCACGTATAGTGAGCCTGACCCAGCGCTTGAAGAGTCGGTCAAAGCGGCCAGTAGCTGCCAGATGATCTGATTCACAATTACCTCTAATGTCACAGTGACCCGGTATCCAGAGGAAAACGGTATTCGATGGTGATTGTTCTCAGATCCCCTGGATCCATGGATACCTTGGGAACTGGGATTCTAGGGCCGAAAGGCCACTGGCATAGTCTGCTTACATGCAGATGGGTTTGTTGGCGCTCATAGTAATAGCGTGGAGCATGGCTGCACTTTCCACGGAGAAAACGGAGCATTGGTCAGAAAGCCGGAAAAAAATGGCTCTCGGTAGGGTCTGCGATTCCAAATCTGACTTTTCTTCTAGCTTTAAAGCCATCCGTCTATCGGTGGTGATGGTCGTGATACTTAGTCCCTAGAATTTCGGCACGGTAAGCGCTCAGCTCCGGAGAGTTGTCTCTGGCTTTGAAGCGCCTTGCTACTGAGAAATCAACGCAAAGTGGAGGCTCCGTTCCAGTGGACTTCTGATACTGGGGGGTGTTTCTGATGGGTCAGAAATCTGTTCTCCTCTCTGAGGAGGCAGATCTCTTCAGTTCCGTTTGTTTCCTCAAATTGATTGTCCTCGACGCTAGTGTTTCTGACACCTGGTACCTGAATGGTAAAACTCTAAGTTTCACCCAAGTCGAGTCTGCTGGGGTAGAAGAGAGCAGCCCTGCTACAGTGCAGATGACTTTGTTGTAGGTGGGAGTCAGTCTGGTGATGAAGAGTTCAGCAGCTGGGCAAAAGAGCTTTATCCCATAGAAGAATCTACCACTACGGCAACCCTCAGAGTTAGGTCTCTATTGCTGCATCGATGCGGGTCGAAGAGCGTACGGATCAAATTCAGTCTTGTGCGGCAACTGTTCCAGATCTCATTGAAGTGAGGAGCAAAGCTGATTGTTCAATCCAGAAGGGCTCCGAGAATCTGTACGTTTTTTTTCCGTAAAAGGATAAGGATACCATCACATTTGATCGGGTCTTGTATGGGGCGATGTAATAAGCGGCATATGTGTGATGTGACACTTTTCTCGGCTGACAACACAAATCCGGATTGAGACGCTCATCTATGGATGGAGGAGACTGCGGACTTGAAGCTTTCTGCGAAGAACCTTTTGGGTGAGACCTACTGCCAAGAGTACAATGTCATCGGCATAGACAAAGATAAATTTCTCTTTTGGAAGTCCATTCGTTCATCGCAACCAAGAAGATGGGGACCATAATTACAGAGTCCTGCGGGACACCAGTTTCTTCCATGCGAGACGATAATTTATAGAATCTCATGGAAGTGTACGACACTTTGTGAAAGCTCAGAAAGTTCTGGAAAAGTTCATGATAGACTCATAGAGGTACACAGAACATCCAAAAACCCGTTGAAAATTCCTTATTACAAAGTTTTCTTTACACCATTGAATTAAAGTTGAAGCGCATTTAGGGCTGATTTTACTGTAAATGTCTCGCAACAACTCTGAAGAACAGGGCCCGAGGAAAAAAAGCCGCGATACCCTTTAGAGATGTCTTGACGAGCCGAGATCCCGACTATTTGAATTTAATGTATGTGTTTTTAAAACGGATAGATCTGAGGATTTAGTAGTTAGTGTCATCTTGTGTTCTACCAAGTTGTTAGCTGCCCATCGGTGTACCCCCATGTTTGTCTTTTTCATCAGAGTGTCGCTTAGTTCGAGATCAAGAGCACATTGCTCTCTAAATCTTGTGTTCACAATCCCTACCCTGTCATCCATTTGTCACAATTTGTTACCTCTAACCTAGAGATAGCCGCGAGTAATCGACCCTCGCTTCACTAACGTTAGTTTTAAGTAATTTTGTAATCTAAACAATGAATATCGACTCCGCAAAGCTACAGCAAATGAGCATGAAAAAAAAACTTATTATAAAAAAAATCCCTGAAACTGACAGCAATTCGCATTTGGTAATCCCTCCGTTGGAGTAAAAGATAGTCTCCCGGCCCAGAGACAGTCTTCAACGCCAATAATTAACCGATGGCTGTAGGACATTATATCTCTTTCTAATTTGGTAGACTACTATATTAGAGAAAGATCCGCCCTACAGCCACCATCGGTTAGTTGTTGAAAGAATTTAAAAATGTTATGGATACACCCCACTCACCTCACATCCGTCCTCTTCGTCAACAGTCCCATCAGCTTCTTCCGCCTGCGCTCCATATCCTGATGCTTCCGGCATAGTTCCATCCGCTCCTGCTCTCGACCCACCATCAATGCAATCTGATCAGTGAGCAATTCTCGTACAATCAGTTCCGCACTATCACACGCACTGGTGGACAAAGGGATCTTCCGTTGCATCATCTCATCCTGTTCTTCTTCTCCGTCTTTGGTAGCATCAGTCTGATTGGCCCGAACCCGTTTGGCAAACCACCGGGACGCCTCGTTCGGTATTACAAAGTCCGTATTACGATACTGCTTATAACGATTCAAACAGAATGGTACATTCGGTTGGAATGTCTTATTGGAAAAACTCTTCAAACAAGGCTCCCGAACCCGTTGCGGTTCCAGATACGGTGAACAATAGTGATCGGCACTGGTCGGCCAACCTAGTGATTCAGAGCTTCGCTTCGGTCGACAAGGCTTTTGCGGCGCCGGAGGAGGAAGAATTCTCTCCAAACCTCTCAGCGTGGTCATCATATCCAAATGGCAGATAGCGGACATTAGCAAGCGCTCATTATTGGTGTAATTCTGACGCCGTTTTCTGGAATAGTGCAGCTCCAACAAGAACCAAAGGAACGATAAATCATTTCCGCGAGACATAACGAGTGCTTCCCGAAAGATCTTCGGCGGACAAAGCGGATAAACTCCAAGTCCTCCTATCAACTCCCGACAGCGAAACACACTGTCCTCATCCAAATCATCCCGAATCGCTTCCAGCAGAAGGTTCATGACGACGACTTGCCTGTCCGAAAGCTCTTGAAACCAAAGCGGAACCGACCGGCGGTCAAGAATTTTGTTCATTTTGCGTTCTTGAATGGAAAGTGTTTTAAACAAAAATAATTAAGATTTTCCTGATATCCGGAATCGAACGCACCATTTTCCGCCAGCATCAGCTGGAATCCTTCCATGTAATTTTGATACGCCTCGATAGCGGCTTTATATTTTTTGTCGAAAATCTCATCTTGGGATAAAGCCGAAGATCTTCGTTTTGAATGTTGTCGGTTTTTCTGCTGCCCTTTCTGGAAGTTGGGTGAATTTAAGGGCCGTAAAATGTTAACATTGTGTTAGCAACTTACCGCAGCGTAGGAATCAGTACAACTTTCTCTTTCCATTCCACTTTCACAATTTGCAGGAATCCGCAAGAATTTATTCACTAACAGTTGAAAACAATTTTTTTAAAGTTTCTTTCCGTGAGGAGAATGCTACGCAAGACGGCCTACTAACGGGATTTTTCTGCAGATGGTGAAACGGCAAGCATAACGGGACTCGCATGAACACCAACAAATGAGTTCACTCGTTCCGCAATCGCAGCCCAGCGGAAAAAGAATGCGAACTGAACACGGCCAATCATACCAACTCAGTGAGATTAATTGACTCAGAGAATTTTCTTTCCATACGAAATTTACTCAGATTTGGAATAAACTGCAGTTACTCACAAGCTATGAGTAACTGCAGTACTATCAACCTCCATGTCCATGTCGATGGGGAGGGCCTACGTATAATTTTGAAATCAAATTATAATCAAACCATTTATCGATAAAACATAAAAAATAGTTCATTTTTAATCTTTCTATGTTTAGTAATATTTTTGAGTCTACACATAATAGTGGAATGCGTTGATTTCTTATGGGTTCCACTATTATAGGAACACTTCCGCAACTATAGGTGCAAATGACTGAAAATCTTAAGGAAAATTTTAAAAAATATTTTAAGATTGAAATATGCAAATATGCTTTATTTTAGGAGAGCTACCGATAAAAAATAATCATATCCGGGTCCTACTCACTTTTCCGGCACAAACTTCATACCGCAACTATACTGCCGGTGGAAGCATAACTGTTCCATGTGACATTTTGACTTTTTTGAGGTTATGATGCTTAACGCTCGGCTTAACGTTATAAATCAATACAAATTTTTAAAATATTATATTAAAACATGCTGTTTATTCTGGAAAAATCTGGAACAATTTTTAAAATGTATAAGAAATTCTTCAAAAGTTATAGTCTGTTATCCAAATAATTCATCGTAAACATATTACAAGATCCTAACGATTACCCAAATGGTAAAATTAATCTTTGAATTATTTGGATGATACCGTCGTAAGCACATTAACACTTTTTTTTTGGAAAATTTAAGCTATCATTCTCAGTTCTGTTGCAATTTACAAACAAATAAATTATATAATGTACTAATCAACTTGCAACGCCTTGCCCTATTTGCACCTTTTCGTGACACTTATGATAATTTGGTATTGAAAAACTATAGAGTAAAATGATGAGATTTTTTTTTAATAAAAGAAATGCATACAACGGTTAACCTTAAATAACTATCATTCCGAAGACCAACTAAAAATGATATTTCGTCTTCTCCAATAACAAGTACGACAACTGCCAACAGAGAGGCCTTCCTATCTACTTCAATTCAACGAGGAGACCTTTACCAGAGTACGTTAGCTTCAGTAGAGAACGTATCGTTGGCGATCAGCTGGATTTGTTTCTTGGAAAACAGTTTGAAGTATTTAAGGTCCTCACTGTTGATGTTGCTTGCGTATCCTAGCTCATATCGTCCTTTTTGAGAAATTTTTTTTTCTCATTATGTCCACGTACGGGCGAGGCTTGAATAAGTTCAACGTGTAGGGGGAGGAGGGGCATAGTGAGCATACCGCAGTTTGGCCCTGGATCTCTAGCTGCATGAAACAAATCAACTGTTAGTAGGTTGAATATCATTATGATATTGATCATACCACCAATAAATTTGTTCCGAACGGCCGGAAGTCCAAGCTGGTGCACGGAGATTTTGACTTTGATGAGTGAGCTTTTTCCATGAGAAATCGACGGCTAAATCCATTGTTTACAAATGTAATTACGCCCCTTTAAAATGTTGGCACTGAAATCAACTATTTTAAAGAAAAAACTCCAACCGTCACTCACGAAGTGTCAAACATAACAACAGCAGCAACTGAGAAGTTGTTCACGGTGGTACAAATATGCGTACATTTTTCAACTCGTCAGAGAAATTCGCAGCAAAAATTGGAAAAATTTCTTTTTATGCATGCAAAATTTTGACAAACTTTCTATGGAATAGTTGTATTACGCTCGGTATTACCATAGAGATAACTCTAAGACCACTGGGTCCCGAAGAAAATCATTATTATTTTTGGCTCACTCAGTACCAGAACAACGGTCCCAAGCAGTCCCAAGCTATTTCACTCACCCCTGCATGTTCTGCATGAATCCACACACCCCTGATGTTATCTGTCAAACTTTCATAGCGAATCAAAACAAACATAGTGTAGTAATAGAATTTCAACTAGAATAGGGTACGTTAATCGTTTGCTTGGGGCCAATAGGCTACTAAAGTGGTGAGCCAATTTAAAATCGTTAGTTTCGTATTGATTGTTGCTAATATTGTGTACCTGGTTAACACAAATGCAGACATAATTTTTAATTTATCTCTGCACCAATCATTATATGATTTTATAATTTCGTTGGTTGTGTCCGGTGTCGAACATTTGCAGAAAACTGTAGCAAAAGAATTAAAGCATCTTTCTTCCAATGAAACCAAAAACAACCACCGTTTACTCCGTACGCTAACAGATTGTGAAAGAAAAGAATAGAGTTTTTATAATTTTGAAGATTTTTGATACTTTATCTTATCATTTTATCACAATGAAAGACATATAATATGAAAGTTGTAAACAGATGTGTAAACAAAATAATATAATTATGTACATGATATAAAATTGATTGATTCCATGTAACATTGCAAGTTTTATAAAGATGTAAATGATTCTTCAAAACCATATTATGGCCCCAATTATGTAAGTCATGTAAGTAAGACAGACACTCGACAAGACTATTTTGGTATTATGCAGCAGTCAACGAGTCGACGCGATGCTGTCGAGTAGCTCGACTGAATCAGTCACTCGTCAGGTAGTGACTCATCTCTCACTCACATTCTGTCGAGTTGAGTTTGTTGTTATTTTCCCGCGTTAGCTTGCTTGGTGTGAGACATTGTAGTGTTTTTTCTACAAATTTTCTTAAAGAAGTAAGAGTTTTAAGATGCCAAGATGCATGTCGTTACCGACACATTGTTGATAGCTTCCAGTCGCCAGAAATCTAAGCGATGCACATACTTTCAAGCATGGACCCAAAGGGTAAGGACCTCCTTCACGCGATTTTTTTTTTGGTTCACCTAGCTGTTTTTTTAGTGTACCTGGTGCACCCGGTACTAGAGCAAAGTACAGCAATTTGTACCAGAACAGGTGTCAAAAGTGACACAGACAGCACAACTGCCAGCAAAAGCGCCAGCAAAAAAAGCTGAGAAACAGCAGTGGATGGATGTTATATGGAGGGGCTACTGTCATAAATATAGGAATATTTTTAAATAAAAACAATCGAATCGGCATATTGCCTTCTGCTAAAATGTTCAAAATACTCTTGAGAATGCGTAATTATTGCGATCATAATATGAAAAAACTTAATAATCATCATGCCAATCAATTCTAAACGGAGAAGAGTGGAGATTACGAAACAATTTCAAAGATATATCACATAGCTGTTAGTTCTAAAATTAATGTTTATTCTATTTATATCATTTTGCAGCTTCCAAATTATCTAGAGGGACCAAAAAAGCTATCCTCGAGGATGTTAATGCGGTAAACGTAGATAAGGCTTCGTGTCCAGAAAATATTGATTCTAAAGATGTTTCCACTTTGCACTCATCCGATCGGAGATCATCATGGAATAATACCAACGGTTATGCCCGGCAGCAAACCACAGAGGGAAGCATCGGTCAACCATACTCGAATGGCTATCATAGCTATCCTTCAAGAAACTACTCGTCTCAGTCTAAAAGTCATGACAATAGAAATAGTTATTATCGTAATGGTACCAATAGGAAACCTCATTACAATAGCTATAATGACAACGGCAGTTATAGCAATAACTCCAACGATCAATATACTGCCGAAGTCAAAAACGAGCAAAATGGCGCTGTGATCATTAACGAAGGTATAAAGGTTATATCAACAATCAATACGAAACTAACGATTTTAAATTGGCTCACCACTTTAGTAGCCTATTGGTCCCAAGCAAACGATTAACGTACCCTATTCTAGTTGAAATTCTATTACTACACTATGTTTGTTTTGATTCGCTATGAAAGTTTGACAGATAACATCAGGGGTGTGTGGATTCATGCAGAACATGCAGGGGTGAGTGAAATAGCTTGGGACTGCTTGGGACCGTTGTTCTGGTACTGAGTGAGCCAAAAATAATAATGATTTTCTTCGGGACCCAGTGGTCTTAGAGTTACCTCTATGATTGTACCACATGGCAACACTACTACCATAGAGGTAACTCTAAGACCACTGGGTCCCGAAGAAAATGTAGCATTTCCACACCAAAACGAAAAAAAATCTGATTTACAGTAAAACGTTGCGCAGATGTTCGTTATCACTCAATGCTGCATTTTTCATTGAGATCTTTTTACCCTTCTTCCAAAGAAGGTTAACCCTTTCCTTCCCATGGTAGCACAGGTGATCCACAACTTTTTTGACTTCCTCATGTTTGTCAGCGCGCCATTAAATAGGCAATACTTATCGTATGGCCATTATATTCGACCATACATGGTTTTTGGAATCCAACTGGTCAACTATAGAAAAACAATTAAAATACTATTGATTTTAACCAAAAACCTTTTTTTATGGATTTATATATTTTAAGGTTATATGCAACATTTTTTGTTCCAGCACTTTTCTTAGGAACGCATATTTGTATGTCAAAACCATCAAAAACCGTGTGGGAAGGAAAGGGTTAAGGTACACCGGGGCAAGTGAGAATAAGTAGTTATTAAGATTCCCGCCTGACCTAGTTCAGGGCAATTGAAGGTATGGGCTTCACATTCCCTGAACTTGGCCAAGCGAGAAATTGCGGTAACAATCCTTAATAACTACCTATTCTCACTTGCCCAGGTGTACCTTAACCTTCTTTGAAAGAAGGGTAAAAAGATCTCAATGAAAAATGCAGCATTGGGTGGTAAAGAACATATGCGCAAACATTCATGCAAATCGGAAATCATCATATCCAACCGATTTGCGATTTGGGCTAGAAATGCTCAATGATCAAATCTGCTACACTAGTATTTACTTACTCATTGTCTGATAACGACATTGGATTTGAAGTATCGCGAATATTTCTACGCATTATAGAAATATTAACCAGCTCCTCTTGGTTATCCTCGTCTTCGTAGAAAAAATCAACACTTGTCCACATCGTTCTCTGGTAGTCAAAGCAGATTGCGACTAACTGGAAGACTACTGAGACTTATTTTAATCGTGTTTTCAATACAGGATAAAGAATCACGACTAGGACCAAAGATCCGACAACTTACGATAACAGTTGAACCACAAGCTAAATGCCATTAAAATACTTGAAATCCACCATGAAACCTCAACTTCGTTAATAACAAAAATTACACGAACTTCAATATTGTTACAAAAAATCTTCAACGGAACAACAAAAACAAACTTAAATATTATTAATCATTAAAAATATTGATCGTTATCTGTCAAAAATGACATGATGCTAGCGTTTTATGGCCAATTCAATCTGATTCAGTCGAGAGTGTCGAGTTACTCGACACTCGACGCTCGACTCGACTTACATAATTGGGGCCTATGGCTTTCAAGACAGATATTTAAAAAAAATGCTACTTAGAATGAATATATATGAGTTTCCCGGTGCGATTTGGGTTTTCCCGATCTTTTCCCGGCGAATCCGAATTCCCGGATTTCCCGGTTGGATGGACACCCTGTAATAGGTCCCTACTCAAATGTGTTAGCAGTGCCTATTCGACCACCATTGGTTATCTCTTCTGGTGTTCGAGTAGTGGATTTATTGAATAGAGCAGGCCTTGACAAATGAGCCCTAAAAGGGCTGCAACCTGTAGTCACAAAAAAAAGAAATAGTCGATTACTGAATTTATGTATGGGCCAAAATTAGGGGCTTTTAGGCCCACATTAAATCCATTTCCCCAATCTGTTCTTTTTTTACAACACATCATTGGGACTATTTCTAGTCTGTTGATGCAAACATAACAAAATTTGATAAACAAATACTCGAAATGTGCCACGACCAACCTGGCACCACGATGCCCTCCTATACGTAATTTAGTGTTCCACGTGTTTCAGTGGCGTCACTTGGGCTGCGTTCCAATTGGTCATTAGTGTCAGGCAGTTTTTTAGGCATGGTCTAGTCTTGATATTTTGGTATCGAATCTTCAAAATTGTCCATAAGCACAAATTCAATTCAAGTTAATCGACCGCTATTGTTCACCCCTATTCTGTATTTCGTTTCGAACGAAATCCTCATACAAAAAAATATTTTTTTGTATGAGAATTTCGTTCGAAACGAAATACAGAATAGGGGTGGTTATTTATCCCTATTGTATTCCGTTCGAAACGGATTTCCCATACAAAAAAAATCCGAACAGCATTTCAATGCAGCAATGCAATGCAGATGGGACAAATGTTTTCAAAACGATCCCTCACGAACTAACGGGAACCTCAAGTCTCAGCAAACGCCATTAACCGTGCGTTTTCAAATGGGACAGCATATCAAATGACGAAATCCAGGACGTTCTTTCACTCTTCTCCGGTGAAAAATGATAACCTTCAAGCATGGTGCGAAATCAGCAAAAGAAGTCAAATTAAGTTTAGTTTAAATGATCTTTATTTTAGTTTAACTTGGACGATTACCATATAAATTTTTACTAAGTGATTTAATTGCTTTCTTCATCTTTAGGTATGGGCAAAATTCAAAATTTGTTTTACAGAATTAGTCCTAGACTTAGTACACGGTCGACCACCTTGGTGGGATTGGTTTGTTTTGTTTTTAGAATTTGAAGAGAAACTACTTAATACTACTATTTACAGCTTAAAACTAACCTACTCTACTATATACACTTAACCTACTATGTACAAATTGCTTATTAAAGCATGTTCAGAAAGATTGCATTTTTGAATAAATTTAGTTGTCATATCATCAATTTTGGAATCTACTTTGGGAATTTCTGCCTCTTGATGGAGGTCTGCTATTCTTGTGTCGAATGGACGATCTAGGATCATCCTCAACACTCTATTCTGTGCAACCTGGATTTTGTTCCTGTGGGTCTGAGCGCACGATTCCCACACCGGGGCGGCATAGAAGATCGCGGGGGCTATGATCTGTTTGTAAACAGCCAGTTTGTTTTGCCTTGAGAGGCGGGTGTAGCAGTAGCAGCAGCAGCAGGAGCATCAGCAGCAAGAGCATCAGCAGCAAGAGCAGCAGCAGTACTGGAAGCAGATCAGTCGAGATTCGTGTAGCCGTGACCGAGGCTGGAAACCTCGGTCCGGTCACGACAGCGGGATCTGCGGCAAATGAGCGGATACAAACACCTAACCAAGGCGGAGCACTTAACTAGGGTTTTCTCTATGTGCGAGCGGAACAGGAGCTTCTCATCGAACAACATCCCGAGATAAGTAACATCAGTGGACCACTCGACCCTTGTACCATCCATTATTACGGTACAGGAGGGAGACGGTTTAAGTTTTGGTGATTGTCTGTGAAGGAACATGATCGCTTGGGTTTTCGAGGCGTTGATTTTGATTTTCCACGTGGTGGCATAATCAGTAAAGGTGTCAAGGCATCGTTGGAGCTTGTTCGTAATTTCACGAGGCATCCTACCTTTGACGGCTATCGCGGTGTCATCTGCAAACAGAAAGAACACGCAACCGTCTCCTAGAGGAGGGATGTCCGACGTGTAGATGCTGTAAAGCAGTGGTCCCAGCAGACTCCCTTGCGGAACACCTGCTGGGATCGGAAATTGTCCCGAAAGGGAACTATTCAACGACACCCTGAACGACCTTTGCTGGAGATAGTTACGGGTGATTTTCACAAGGTATGGTGGAAAGTTGGAGTTACAAAGCTTGTATATAAGTCCGTCGTGCCAGACATTGTCAAACGCCTTTTCGACGTCTAACAAGGCCATGGCTGTGGACTTGGATACAGCTTTGTTACTTCGGATGTTATTCATCACCCGCACTAGCTGATGATTGGTGGAATGCCCCTTGCGGAACCCGAACTGTTCCGGAAGAAGAATGTCATGTTCCTCCACAAACTTGTTTAGTCGGCTGAGGATCAATTTTTCGAACAGCTTGCTCAGCGCTGAGAGCAGGCTAATCGGTCTGTAGCTTGACGGTAGTGAAGGGTCTTTCCCAGGTTTGCGGATCGGGATGATTTTTGCCACCTTCCAGATGCTTGGAAAGTTAAGTCAAATTAACCAGCTTGATTTTTATTTAACTTACACGCATTAATTTGTCACATCGATTGAATAAACCCATACTGATGATAGATTCCACCATGGTTTAGTGGGTGTATCTTATGCGTCCGCTTTGTTGTGATGTTAACACAAATCGAGAGAAAAGTCCACATGGCAAACGAATTCGTTTTTTTTTTATTTTTGTTTTATTCAAATTCAAGATACGATCATTCCACATCATCGCTATCAATCGACACGATTGAGAGAGAAAACAAAAATGAGAAAATGTTTCCATTGTTTGTTTGTTTGTTGTTGTTTTGTTTGATGTTCTTACTTGGTAGGTACGCAAAGAAAAAGAGAAAAACGTTCAAGGAAAAACACTTACTTGGTTCACTACTAATAACTTCTTTTCCTTTTTTGTCTAAGTATATTTACGATGCTTGTGTTTTGTTTGTAGGTATGTGTATTTTCCTTTTTTGTTGTGAGTACACCTACAATGTCTTACTTTTTCTTGTTTTCGTTTTTCTTGACCTAAGAATACAGCTTTTTTTGTTGGTTTTGTTCCATACAGATTTTAATTAACTTAAAACTAGGTATGATTTTCTGGTTTTTTTTCGGGCTTTTAAAATTTTCTTATTTTTGCATTTAATATTACATGGCCTTCCTTAAAAAAAATAAAGGGGATGCACGTATGTTTGTGAAGTTGTAAAACGAAAAAAAAAAAAACACGTTAAGAGAAAATACGTCTCGGGAGTTTGGTGCCAGTCCGAATTTTGCTCTTATGTTTGTTCAATTTTGCAATTTATGTGTAGTTTTAGAGTAGTCAGACGAAAAAATATCAAACTTTTACTTTACACGGCGCGCATCTGTCTCTCGCACTAGAGCTCTGTGACTACATTTTGTTTTCCGTTTTCTAAAGTTTTACCGCTTTCAAACAGAGCCTGGATTGCGTCTAAATCTTTTTTCGTCCTCTCTGCTTGCCTCTATATGATGATTTTTGTAGTTTGTTTTTCCTTTTAATTTTGGACTTTGCTCTAAGTTTTGATGACGACTTTTTAACTGTTGTCACTGACCGGTTGCTGCTCTTGAGAAGTAAGGCCCCGAACATTTATACAATAAATTAAAAATAATCTTTTTTTTTTAACTTTTTTTTGTTATTTTTTGTGTTTATTGTGTGGGGGTGTGTGTGTGTGTGTTTGTCTAATTAGTAGTTCAGTCGCTCTCCTCTCCGGACTCATCATCGTCATCGTCGGAGTCCTTCTTTTTGCTCTTCTTCACGACCTTCTTGGCACCCTTGCTCTTCTTCTTGCCGGCGTCCTTGCCGCCACCACCACCGCCGCCATTCCGTTCGAACTCCTGGACGGCCTTGTTGTACTCATCCTTCATCTTGGCGGCTTTGTTTTCCCATTCCTAGAGAATAGTGAACAGAGAAGGTTTATTAATTATTGAGGAATGAAAATATCTAGATAAGTTAGTCAGTGGGAAATACACTTACCGTCTTGTCCTTCATTCCCCTCCACAATTCACCGCCTCGCTTGGCGATTTCCGTCACCTTGATGCCGGGGGACTCCTTCTTGATTCCTTCGCGGGCAGAGTTCAGCCACAGCATATACGCGGATAGAGGACGCTTTGGTTTCTCGGCCATTGTAGTGTTTTGTTTGTGTTTTTAGAGAAAAAACGGAACGAGATCTGCAATGGAAGACATGCGGGATACAAGCGGTTAGTCTTCCATTCGTTTCCAAGATGGATGAAAAGAGAAATTGTGAACCCTATTCAACGAAACATGGCGAATCATCTCTACTCTACCGCAGTAGGCGATAGCAACCGCACTCAAACCAGCCTACTGTGCTTTGTTCGAACAACCTGCTTCTTTTTCTTACCCTATACAAATTCAATACGGATACTGAACCGAACACGAGATGGAGCAAAAGCATATGCGGAGGCCAGCCAGTGCGTGTACACCTCAGTAGCACCCTGTTATTGTGTGAGCAGAGAACATGAACACGTTCCTCTCCGTCATGAAATGAACTCATGCCTGACACTTGAGATGTGGTTGGCAGAGAGGGATGGCAAAAAATCAATTTTAATCAAAAAAAAGAACTGCTTCCTTCGACGTGGAAGCTAGGCTCCATCATGATAGCGAGTCATGGGGGCTTACAAAAGACGACACGCATACGATCTTCTACTAACCGATTCTGTCCGCACCGAAAGGTAAAATGCCTATATGTACACAAGGGAAGCGAACAGAGCATATCGAACGAAAAAAGATGCTTGGTTAAATGAAACGTTTTCGGTTTCATGTGACCGTGCGATGATAACACGGCTCTACAGCAACGGTAGGAGTGTGTGAGAGAGTAACCTCAAAATTAACCGTTTATGGCGATATTTGATCAGAGCTTGAAGGAATGTTGCGAGCAACGCAAGGGAGAGCGCGCCTATGTACCATCACCACCGGCAGTAGTGGTGTAACGGAAAAAGGCATCTGATGAAATTTTGAAATTCGCGCACGCGCGGTGTTTGACTCATAATGCTCAAGCTTGGATAATATGGGAATGAATATTTTTCCAACAGAAAGCGAAACGCTTCGCTTCTTACGTCCCCGAGAGCCGTTCGTTATGAAACGCTTCACGTGATTTGAACTGTTCGTTGGGACGAAGTTTTGTGCGGTGGGGGAATGTGAAAAAAAAAATGTAATCGTGGTTCGGGTCTGGATGAAAACTTGAATGTTGTTTCACTCAGGAGCAACGTAGACGTATCTTAACCACTCTAATGATGGGTCAATGTTCAATCAAAACGAAATTCAAGCGTAACTTGAATTATTAATTACAGTGTTAACTTGCCACTTCAGGCAAGAAACAGTGTATCACATTTGTTTTCGTACCAAGAAATCCACTTAACACGACACGTTGCAATTCCCTAGTCTGAACATAGCACTAAGCAACTTGAGCTTAACGTCAATTTCCTGTCAAACTACCGAAGATGTTACTTACATGATATGCTTTCGCATATCTTTCACAGCAAAATAAGCTTTAAGGGAACATGCTTAAATGACTTAGCATTAAATTTTCATGGAACTTTCCACAATTCTCTTCATCGATTAAGGGCAACACTGCTCAAATATGAGAGTAAATGTCACTCACATTTGAATGAAATTTACATCAAATTAGGGTAAACATTTATTCAGTTTATGGTGACTGACCTACTTTTTTTGTGAATTTGAGTGAACGGAACTCAAATATGAGTCAGATACAATGACCGTGTATGATTTATTGGAAAATATTGAAATATGGAACAAGAGTCGAATAGCCAAATTCCAGCACACATTTGAATGATTGCTCATAGCGATACATTGGATACCAACATTGCATTAGGGTGAAATTGCTTTCGTAAACAACAGCTTTACCACATGAACAAAAGCAACCACATACTAACTAAACTAACAACACCATCAGACATGGAAGTTATTAGCGAAAGTGAGCTCTTTTTCGTGAGAAATTGCCTCTTGAAGTCATTGTTTACTAAAGCAGATTCGCCCTAATGCAACGTTGGTATTCACAACTTGTGCTGGAATTTGGGTATGTTGAGTTTTGCTTCATATTTCTATAATTTATGTTAAATCGTACACGACCATTGAAGACTCATATTTGAGTTCCATTCACTCAAATTTACAAAAAACATCGGTCAGTCACTCATGAACTGAGTAAATGAGTCACTCGAATATGAGTAAAGTCTTTCACATATGGACACACAAGAAGATTCCCGGTTGTTCCCACCTGCTTATCATAGATTTCCCGATTGTATATAATCAGATAATGATAAAAATGAATACCCGCATGAATCAATTTTTAGAATTATGATCGCATCAAATTTTCAAGTTACGTTCCATAAGTTAGACAATTTAGCACGGATGAAACCAGGCAAGAGAAGAGTCTCATAATTTCAAAGCCCTATACTGCCGCTATTCGCATAACAGTCCCATGTCCTGTAGATTTCCTATCAATATGGGACTGTCATGCGAATAGCGGCAGTATATCTCTGGTTACATGTAAATTTTTGAAAGGGCACCAGGTCCAACGCTACTGGGCCGAGTGAGTCTGGAGGGAAAGTCAAGATTCTGAAGAGACTATTATAGCGAATGTGAGGAGAATAGAATGGTAGAAAGTACTAAGAGAATTTTCTCAGAAAAATTCCAAGGGAATTCTTAGGAAAGTTTCAAAAGAATTCCGAAGAGAATTCCAAGGAGATTCTCTCAAGGACATGGTTGAGAAGAATTTCAAGAGAATTCTACATGACTTCTTCAGAAGGTCCTATTTGCTTCGATCGAACCTCTTCTTCGTCAACTTTCTCTTTTGATGATGAGCTATTTTGGACACATAGTTTGATGCAGGAGGTCCTCATTTAGCGTCCAGAACGTCAAATACAACAGGGAATGTTTTTGCAGCTGAGCTTTTCACGAAAGAGAAGGTCGATGATGAGAATCGATCAAATCAACTAGGACCTTTTGATATGTTGGTCTAGAATCCTATTCCACGGTTATTTTGGGCTGGAAACAAGGAAGATAATTTCTAAATTATTCTGAAAATAATTTCAAGAACATTCTGACAGGAGTGTCAAGAAAATTCTAAAAAGGTTTTTAAGCAAATTCTAAAACGAGTTTCATGAAAATTCTGAAATTTTTTTTACGTAAATCCTGAAAAGAATTTCACGTCAATTTTAAAAAGGATTTCACGAAAATCCTGTCAAGAATTTCATGAAAATTCTGAAAAAAAAAAAGAGTTTTGAAGAGAATTCCAAGGAAGTTTTGAAAAGAATCTTATGGTTTCTAAATTATAATCTATGGAAACTAAAACAATATATAATATGGTTAGAAATAGAGCGAATTCTCGCGAAAATTTCCATGAATACGATGATAAATTTTAAGTTAATTCCAAGAGTTTGCTTAAAAGGAAATTCAAAATGTTCACTTTTTTCGATAATCTTTTCTGATCAGCTTTACCGAAGACAGTAACCAGTAACCAAAGATGTCCACTCAACCTACCTATCCGAAGTGCTGAAGGAAGTTGGTTTGACTAAGTCCTTTTTTTCAGAAATCGTCGTAAAAAGACTTCAGTAATTTTTCCAAGATTCAGCATATTTTGTGAAAATAATTTCATATGTTCCAGGAGAGTTAAAAAAAAATCAATGTTTTTGTTCAATTGCTGGCAACGTTTCGCAGTTTAAGACTTCTATAGAGTCGTTTCGAGGAAAGAGGACAATTTATTACCCCAGTTTCCCGAAAACCTCTGATAGAAAGTCGTCCCAAAACTGTTCCGATTGAATAACTTATTATTGTTTTCAGAGCTTTCGAACTTACCACATTGAAGCAGTTCCTCTGATGGGATAACCGAATGTAATTCCGGCTAAAAATATGTAGGGGAAATGTCGGCTTCGGCAATACCTTGACCTATTATCGTCAGGGGGTAAACAAAGTCCTAGAGCACTCAAATCTGGCCAAACACAATGTATCCACATGCCAAAATTGAGCTCTCAAGGACTTTGTTTACCCCCTGACGATAATAGAATAAGGTATTGCCGAAGCCGTCATATTATCTGATAAAAAAAAAAACACTGTAAAGTAACTGTGTGGCACTAATTTACAACATTTCAAGTTCCAAAATGTCAACTCTAGTCGACACCTTAGGTTCAATTCCTCTCGCGTGAGTTATAATTCAAACACACATCCTCCCATTGGTAAAATTTAGTGCAAAATGAACACACATACACTCAAAACTAACAGTTGCACAGCTAGAAGTGTGTTTATAAACACTTTGCAATACAGACAGGAAAAACCACGTGGATGGACGCGGACACACCGACACTCGTCGCCAAGTTCGCCGGTTGGAACCGGCACGGCAGAACTCGAATTGACGTTGCAAATAAATCGTAAATCGGAAAACGCTAGGTATGAACACCTGAGCTGAAGCTTGATGGGTCAAAGTTATTAAGAAGCTATTCGTCCATATTCTCGTTCGAACCAAGGTGCAAATGTCATCTATGATTTCCAAATATCAACGAACAAGTTATAGTGTTTTCAAAAACTAATACATGTAAAAGATAGAGCTTTTGAACGATGAAACGCGGGTATGTTTGTTTTTGAGGCTATTCCATGGAACATGCAACAAATAAGTTGATATATTCAGCCAAGTTGACCAAGCGTTTGTATGGAAAATACTATTCGAACGTAAACGAGAATATGGGTGATTGTTAATTTTTATTCATATCCATGGAAAACCATGTTTTGCGACATACAATGACTCACTAATTCAAGCGATTTTTGTTAAACTTTCTACCACTAAATGTTGATAGGGAAAGTGTGCGTTCAGGACGATAAAAGAGTTGCTAATAACGAACTAATAAAATTGAACTTTCTACCAAGCAGTAGGCATTAGAGAAAACATTTCGAAATAATAATATAACTATTGCTAAATTTAAGTTATGAAGATGTAGGTAGTAATTCTGCATTACAATTCAAATCAAAATTTTATTAAATTTTATGTTCTGTGCCTTGGCGTTCTAATAACTGTACAATATAGAACAATCCGACAGCTCTGAATTGAATTAGCACTGTCACCCAAATACATAGGTTTCAACTTAATCATCGACTGCAACGGATATTTGCATGAAAAATAACAAATGTTTGTATTCAGTTA